CCCCCTCAGGTTCGAGTGGTCTAGAGGCTCCAGACGGAGGGGAGACTCCCCCCGGGGGGAGTTGCCATCCGCCTGGAATACCTATCTCTAGCCTCGCCAATTCTCGGCTTGAGCTCCCCTTAGGATCTCGCCGTCCCCAAGCCCGGTGACGCTGTAAAGGTCATCTGCGGCCAACAGCATACACACACTCAAATAAAATGTTGAGTCGAAGATTGTAATCTGCTACTATACAGGCTGTTTTAGTCCGTATACAGAAAGAAAGCCGAAAGCCGATCGGCGCCGATCCTTACTACCTACATAAAGGTAGCCGAGTAAAGCAGATCAAGCAAAATGTCGGACTCATCGGACGATGATTTGGTTTTGTTAGAAAATGTGTATTTAAAAATGCGAAAAAAAGCTATACATCCTATAAATAGAAAAAGGCAAAGTTTCGGAGAATACTATCATTTATTTGTAAAAAAATTGAAATTTGATGATCAAAGATTTTATACATATACAAGAATGACTCAAGAAACATTTTATTACATTTTGGATTTAGTGAAAAACCGTTTGATAAAAAAATTGGTGCAACTGGCATAAACAACCAATCCTTCCAGAAGAAAGACTTGTTGTCACCATTCGGTAAGTACGAAACAAATAATTTTAGCGCTTAGTTAATAAAAGATTAAGTTATTAGATTTATAAAAAGATTATAACTTAGATTGATTTAATCTAAGGATAATAATTCAAATACAAATTATTTATTATTCGGACCAGCGCGTGTCGGCGCTTATCGGCGCCGGTCCTTAGAAAAAGGATCAGCGTCAATAGGCGCCGATAAGCGCCGATCGGCTTTCGGCTTTCTTTCTGTATACGGCCTTAGGATCTCGCCGTCCCCAAGCCCGGTGACGCTGTAAAGGTCATCTGCGGCCAACAGCATACACACACTCAAATAAAATGTTGAGTCGAAGATTGTAATCTGCTACTATACAGGCTGTTTAGGCCGTATACAGAGAGAAAGCCGAAAGCTTATCGGCGCCGATCCTTACTACATAAAGGAAGCCGATTAAAGCAGATCAAGCAAAATGTCGGACTCATCGGACGATGATTTGGTTTTGTTAGAAAATGTGTATTTAAAAATGCGAAAAAAAGCTATAGGTACATCCTATAAATAGAAAAAGGCAACGTTTCGGAGAATACCATCATTTATTTGTAAAAAAAATGAAATTTGATGATGAAAGATTTTATACATATACAAGAATGACTCAAGAAACATTTTATTACATTTTGGATTTAGTGAAAAACCGTTTGATAAAATAATTGGTGCAATTGGCATAAACAACCAATCCTTCCAGAAGAAAGACTTGTTGTCACCATTCGGTAAGTACGAAACAAATAATTTTAGCGCTTAGTTAATAAAAGATTAAGTTATTAGATTTATAAAAAGATTATAACTTAGATTGATTTAATCTAAGGATAATAATTCAAATACAAATTATTTATTATTCGGAAAACATAGATCATAATGACCAGCTGACCAGCGCGTGTCGGCGCTTATCGGCGCTGGTCCATAGAAAAAGGAAGCGCTGATCGGCGCCGATCAGCTTTCGGCTTTCTTTCTGTATACGGCCAGAATGCACTCAGATTCAGATTCAGACTCAGAAAACAAGCGCGAGAAATATACAGTGTAGTTTAAGCAGTTCGCCTGCTGCCACTATGGCCACCCTGCTTTAACTACACTGTTTATTTCTCGAGCTTGTTTTCTGAGTCTGAATCTGAGTGCACTCTGGCCGTACCATTACACTGTAGCGGGTTAACTTACAGTCTTGGCGAGTTAAGTTCTTATCATCGTTTGGAAAGAGATTTGACAGTAAGTACTTACATACTGTAAGTCCTTGCTGCTGTATTACCGAAGTGGAAATCAGCCTTAGATTAAGATTACGCTAGCTTAATTACATGAGTGAAGGACTTACTTCATCGACTAGTATTGTTCAGCATCAATAAAGGCTGCACTACAGATTGCGAAATTAAATGTAATGCTTCGAAAAGTGACGCGCTTTCGTATTATCGCAAAGGAAGTGATAGCATCAATTTATTATAAACCTAAGAACTAGTCAGATGTGAAGAAGAGTTTGAGAGAACCACGTGTTGAAATAATTAATTAACGTCTCTGATTCAGACCAATTAGTTACCGACTTATACTTCGTTTCGTTGAGGTCATTCCGTGAATGAATTAGAAATTCTGTATTCATTGGTAAAATGTAATACCTAGGTGCCTATCTAGCTGCAACACATTTTAGTGAAAACAGAATAACTTTGTCAGCGCCTTGTTAAGATAGAGCAAAGATGGATTTTCTTAATGTTTATGTACCTACTTATGTATCACATGACCTCTTTTAGGGTCACTTCCAGTGAGGTAACCATTTAGACAATTTTATTCATTACTAAACGTTAAAACCATAATAAAAATTGCTAAAATAGAATAACTACCAAAGCTTTCTGATTTCTCAAATCGTCATCTATGTAGGTACAACATTATTTCACTGGCAACCACGGGTTTTGAAATAATGGCCCACACAACCAAAGGCCCGTGCCGGCTGCCGGCTCAGCTTTCTCCCGAAAACGTGGGCGAGAGAGACCTCACCGCGCCACCATTGAATAAATACTTCATGTTTATATTGACAGCGATCGCTCTGCGCGTATCTAGTCACCAATAGCCGATACCGAAACAAAAATGTCATACAGATACTACCAATCGAAGGACGGACACGATAAGGTATGTTTACACTACAGGTACACAACGACCGCGCTTCCCCGTCGCATTTCCAAGACCCTACAATAACACAAATTGGATATGGCGATATCTCTGCCACACTCAACGAACGTCTTAACTGACCAACAAACACTAAACGACTACACTCCAGAGCCAGACAAATTACTCATTGTTGACATTGAAAGTTACGCAAGTACAATGCATGGCTGCAACTTTACTATACCAAAAACCTTTCGTTGAACAAGTAGTTCCCGGCCCTCCGTTCCGTCTCTCGACACAACAAAAAGCCGGGTGAAGCCGCATTTAAGACGGTCCCCCTTACCTCTGTCGCTCGTACATATCCTGCGAGGACTACACAAGACAGCCATAGGTATATCCTCAAATGCATCACAACAAGCGAGTCAGCCCCGTCGCTCCAGCAGTATGACACAATAACACAAACAACACAGCACCAAACAGATTGCTGTTATGTTATTATTACACTAGCACCATACACTCGGGCACAACAACTCGCGAAACGACATGCGGCGTCGATTTGCGATTGTAGTAAACTGACTTGTTCGACGCGAGGCGCGCTCGCTTCACTGCGATGGGGCTCCCCGCTAGGGAGCGCCGCGCGGCTAACTTCACGCCACTCTCGCTCGCTCGGTCGTTCGTTCGCCCCGCACCCGACCACTAGTCGATGGAGCTCTCGCTCGCCTCGTGTCACGCACACCGATTTATCACGCTCCTCGGAGCTCACCAAAAAGTAATAGTATTAGTTCCCGTCCAAGCATCGAGCATGGAGTTCGATCGACCGCGGACGAAACGAGCCTAACAAAGCAACGAACTTGTTCTAATTTTGGACGCACCGACCGGACAGAAATATTGCTTGTTAGGGCGACGACCGTCTCTGCACTGTACGGGACTGGGCTTCATTCAAGATGCATCAAAATAAACATGTTGTCTACTAAGTTCCGCTGCGAAAAGTAAATTCAGTTTATGCAAAGGAACAGGGAGGGATAGGATAGGATAAGAAAGTTCTAACCAGAAAATAATATTGTTTCGAATAAATAGGAAAAAACGATGATAATATCATTGGAAAGTAATTTCATTATTATTTAACATTAAGTACCTACTATACTGATAATTTAATGGCTTATGCAGGATCCAGGACTCGAAGGACCAACATAAATTTTCATATAAATTTAAATCAATATTTTCTAATGATACTGTGGTATTTTATTTACCACTAACCACTTAAATATGTATCCAATAACAATCATTTATCTTTTAAGAAATTCAACAATAATAAATAATTATATTCCCATATAAAACTAATTTAACAGTATTTTAACGTTCAAAAAATAAGGTTGTAATTTGGAGTTGATGACACACTAGCGACATCTATGCCAGCCTGAACTACCTTATTAGGACATTGAACAATATTAATGTTAAACAGATTACTTAGATGGCGCTGCAAGAATATTTTGTCATTCTATTTTCGTATTGGCATGATTCTCCAAAAAAGTACTACACGGACAGCAAAAAAGTACTTTATTCCCACAAGTTCTGTTGACTGAACTAATGGAAGTTTTTCCTACTAATGGTAACAATACCACTAGAACTGCTAATAATAATAATTTATTGTCTTTTTTACATGCTAACAGATATTTAAATAATAATTCATTAAAACAAGACGATAGGGAATGGCTCAGCCAATGTTGGTCAAGCCTAGACCTGAACCAACGCTGTTTTCATCCACCCCTTAACAAATTTTACATAATTAAATTGAATACAGAGAGCCTCATAATAGAATAATTAAACTGGATTTTTGTCGAAATTAATGGGAATTTTTGTGCCACTAGTTCTGTGAACAATTTGGCTAGTTAATAAATTCATGGTTAATATTAAAAAAAAAACATACTATACTAATTGCAACCGGAGACAAAATTAGGCAGGATTTCAATTAAACCTTCTTTATCACAATGTTTCTTAATAGTCTTGTCCTATCAATTTTAATAAAATTATTATTGTGTTGTATGTATGCCTAGCATAGCAGAAATGGGATATCAAGAATTCATGATTATGTTTTCAAATAAAAATGAAATTGGTAATTTCTTATTATATATATTGTTTCAAACCTGCAATCTAAAAACTAACAAAAATAAAAGCCAAAGTACAACATCTTTCTATACATAGTATTAAGTTGAAATATTAAGTCATACGCAATCTTGCATCATTAACTTTATTGCTTAAATATTGCCACTCATTTTTTGTCCATTGTATGCATTTGTTCTTTGTGGCGCCGGATAGCATCTTCATGGCGTTTGATCTGCTCCTCATGGAATGAAATCTCCTTAGATAAGTGAGACTTCAAATTCGACAGTTGCTCCTTTTGCTGAAATAAAAAGATATATATTCAGTACATAAAATGAATTTAATCTTAAAATATACAAAATTACGCGACACATTGGTTATCCGGGATGGACTCCTAAACTACTAAACCGATATTAATGAAATTTGCAAACCGTGTGCAGTTTGATTCAACTTGAAAGACAGGATAGCTTACATCTCAATTTATAGTTGCAATTTTTTTTTTTTTTTTTTAGGTAGGCAAATGACTCTACCCCACCTGATGTTAAGTGGTGATAAAGTCCAAACGCGAAGATAGCTGGTACACCAGTTATAAACTGCTACACCAACCATCCTCACCTTGCAGGCCCGCAAAAATGCTTCTTCACGCCTCTCTTAAAGGACCCCAGATTATAGGAAGGAGGGACCACGTGCGCGTGGAAGGAGAAGGAATGGCGACGTTTTTGCCGTGAAAGCGCAAGCCTGAGTTTTCTTGGCATTGTACTCAACCAAGTTATTGTTTCATTGCAAATTATTACTTTTGGGCGGTACAAAGTTCACAGAGTCAGCTGGTAAATAAAATAAATGTAAAGCAATAAATAAAAGTACCTACTGAGATTCTATAAACTATACAAGCTTCATAGTAATATATCGCCAAGCCTTGCAACTTGAATTATTGACACTATAAAACGAAAATAATCATTGGTTGAAAATAGTCTACTCAATTACCAAAATGCATGACTCCAAGAAATATTAAATTATTTTTAAAGAAATGACATGGGGTATTTTACTATTAAATATTCAATAACATAAAACTTATTTGTTTCCTAGGCTTTCACGCACATCACCCATTGAAACTTCTTTTATTTAACATTAAACATACTTATTTCTTATGTTTTCAGACATACCAATAATTTCATAAAAACAATGTTGAAGATGTATAAAGCATGATTTATTGTATATTTACATTATTCTAGGAGCTTGAAAAGGATCCATAAGATCAGTTCAAATATAGATTCAATAAATTATGCTTTATAAATATTTAAAAAGTGTTTTATTAAAATCAAAGTTCTTCCCTGAGCATGAGCACCACAATATGTTAAATAACACGTTTTTTATTGAGCTCAACTGTTTAATTTATATGGATGTGATATAATGTAATTTGTAAAGCTAATGCTACAGGGACTGGACTAGTTAAAAAACTCCAAAAATGTATCCTCTGAAATCTAAAAATGTATTATTCCTTTGAGATAACTTTGGTTTTTTAAACATAAACTTTCACATTTATAATCATAATCAAAATCATTTATTCAGTTTAGGCTGTTACAAGCACATATGAATGTCTAGAAGCTACGCCATCGGTTCGTAAATCTACGGCGGGAGACCTTGTACTGAGAATAATTATATTAGTGGGAAAGTGGTAGTGGTAGTATTTTATTGTTTTACTATGTATGAAATATAATATTAGTGTAGGGAGCATTATCTTGCTTTTCCCAAACACAAATAATAAGTTAAGAAAAGTTCTTGACTTCACTCAACTACCACTGGAGTGCGTTCATACCTCTAGACCACTCTAGAGTGCGCAACTTGAGTGAAAAAATCAAAAAATGTTGATTAAATATTTGTTACTCTCCGCTATTATCATCTTCATGGAAGTGGCTCCAAATTACATAACCTAATTCTTACAAGCCTTTTTAAAGCCTTCCATCTTGTATTCACACTTTTTTAAAGGATATTTACATCAAAATATGTCCTTATTAAATTGTTTCATGCTCAGAAATAACAGGTGTCAACCTGTACCTCGGCTCACCGGGAAACCTTCAAGAGGCAGTCACCAATGTGAAGGCCCTGGGGGCGTTCCTGGGGGAGCTGGGCTGGCTGGAGTGATTCCGGCCATACACCCTCCTCACGCAAAACAGGCGCCATAAGGACGTCGAGTTGCGGAAACGCCCGTAGCAACAAGAACAAGAACAAGAAGAACAGGTGTCAACATCAGAGTGTTTTTAACCCGCTCTTGAGTTGATTTTAAAGTTATATCTTTCAGAGGTTTGGAATGACCAAGCTGCGCAACCATCTGTAAAATGAACTGTCACTCCAAAATTCTGAACGGTCTTTGGGTAAAAAAGTAGCTCTCAGTGCCTGCACTCTGAACGCAACCCTGTTCTTCTGCGTTCCAAACTTACCCTCCAGGTACAACAAAAGCCAAATCTGACAAAAATGTTGTCTCAAAAATTTTATGTCATTATTAAAATGTCAGGGTAAAAAGTTGGACTTAGAGCTTAGGTTTAGAATGCATCCCTTTACTTAACTTTCAAAAAGTACTTCTTTCTGAATTTGAATCAGAGTCAGAATTTTATTTGTGAAATGTATGTCAAGACTTCATTGATTTTGCTATTTGACAAAATAGGATCTTAAGTTGATAACTTATCAAGCCATTCAAAAAACTCCTCTCACAATTGGCCATTTGTAGTATTTCCTATTTGTTAATTAAACATCAGTCCGCTTTTAGTTCACTATAATAGCATGAGAATGATAAACTGCTGTTAAATTTATAAATAGAAAATACAAATAGCCTTGTGAAGTGGCAGTATAAAAACTTTAATGTCAAATTATCATTTTTATTTTTCAATCTTAATTGCCATCAGTCCTTAAGGACTTTTACCAATTTTTTTGCATACGGATTGACGTTAACAAAAGCAGAAGCCTGTGCCTCAGCTTCCCAGCTAAACAACATTACATCTTCCAGTCTGTCAGTTGTATTTGACATATCCAGCAACTCGATGGCTTAGTTAGGTGCATGATTAGTCATTGGAAGTATCGTTTTTTGCAGCCTTGTATTGCTTCTAATATAGCAGGAATATAAAGGTACTCATGGATTTGCTGTTTCATGTGAACCATGGTGTGTTTGCTATGTTTCAACAAATTCTGTTCTGAGCTCTTTGAAGGCACATTATGTTCCTGTTACTGGCCACTCCCCATAATTGAAGACCGTAAGTCATTCGTAAGTTAATGTCAAATGACAAACCTTTTTGTAGAAGTACTCATCTTCACGGGCTGCCTCCATCTTTCCAAAGGTACCGCCGGCCTCTCTGATGGCTCCTCCACCGCCGCCACCCCTACCAGCTCCAGAGCCAGGTTCGCCACTGTACATTCTGTAACATATTTTTTTAAATGCCGTTTAATCACATCATCAAAAGTCACCATAAAATACAAACTTATTTCATCATAAGTACTCAAACTTCAATATGCTTATTTTATTGTGTATTTTAAGTTGACACTTTAAATACACAATGTAGATAAAAAATATACATCTAAGAATAGTAATGATCACCTTTATATCTCCTGTATTCAGATAAGAATTATAACTTTATGTGATATCACAATCTATTTGTATTTCTATGCTCATAATAATGCGGCATATAAATACTAGAAAGGACTAAATTGGCTTCAAGCCAATGTTTATGGTAAACATGTTTACCAAAGTTTTATAAATTAATTAAAGCAATCTTAGGTGGTAAAATGAAACGAAAGATTACCTACAATGTTTCATGTCAATTTCATTGCTTTTAGGTAGTTTGTTGTGTACATTCTATTGGCTTTCAAAGTACACAATTACCTGATATACTTTAAATCCTAGAAAGTATGAGAATATGGTCCAATAATTGATAATGGCTTTATATCTATTTGTAAAGATTGCGTAATCTGGATCAGCACGCCGGGTATTTCGTAAATTCCTACCTTAAGTTTGGGAGAGCACGAAGTACTAGAGGACGAGATCGATTAATGAAACTCATTTTGCGACGCGAGACTATTGCGTTTTATACAAATAAATGGAAATTTCAATTAAACTTCAAAGAAAATGCAATGCGAATGTGACTGACAAAGTCATTGAAAAATGACGGCCATCATACGAATTCGAAATACAAAATGTCAATGTCAAATACTTTTTCTAATATTCTCTCTTTAAGGAAAAACAAAGGGTGCTTAATCCGTACAGCCATAGTTTTATTTATTTTCTACTTTATATTGTAAAACTAGATAATTAGAGCTACCAAGTGGCAACAAAGAGCGGATGTTGGCTCCGCGTGCAATTTCGTGACATTTCATAGAGCAGCGCTGCGTGAGGCGGATCTCCCATTGCGGAGTCCACCCTACGGGCGACGGGGCACGCTCAGTTGGCTGTCTTCTGTGCTCTTCTCTACGTCGTCTTTTGGCTGGGTAGTATTATCAACATAAATTATCCATTATCAACTATTCGAGTGTCCGTTGCGATCTCAGTTTTATTGCTAATTCGTACCCTTGATAGCAATGATGGTGTTGATTCCTTGTTGAGAATCAGAGATATCTCTGCCAAAGGTGAGATGTAAGTCCCTTCCTACGTACACTGTCTAAACAATATTTCAGCTACATCTAGAATATAAAAAGTTATGCACTAACTCGACTTCCCGTTTCTTGAGCCAAAGGATGTGTTTAAGTCTCTGTTCGGCAATAATTTTGTTCAGTTCTGCAGTCTCCCTCATCGCTCTGACAACCTGCCGTTCCTCTTTCAGGGCTTCCATTTTCAGGTACTTCTCGTCTGATGAATACCTGTACCAAATTTTCTGGTCAAAAAACCTGGCCAACCTATGTGGAATCCAATTTATAAGGGTACTGATGCCTCGGTAATAATCATATAATACTTAAATGATGATCAGTTTGTAGCTCCCTAGTTCTAAATAGCAAGGGGTGCTATTAAACCAAGTGGCCTTTTAGCGGGAAAGCAAATTTTATGTACACAGAAAGCTAAAGGAAAAGAAGGGCTTCGACCGATGCTACTCGTATTAGGAATACAACGCCAAGTTAATGTAATATGATAAGATTACCGTGATAACTGCATAAATAACGTAATATAAAATAGCTGACTAAACTCGCTGCAGCCTAAAAAATACTAGCGAAAATTTGACACAGACAATTAGGGCCGCGCGGTAGCATAAAAATCAGTGCACCCGCCTGGATATCGCAGGGTGCGGGTTCGAGTCCCAACTGCTGCCTGGTACGTGTGTTATTTTTTCTAGTAAAATAATTTCTTTAGATTTAAACGTCTACCAGTTAATTAAATGCTTAAAAAATAAAAATATAGAAAATGTCTGGCGCGAGTTATACCCACAATCATATAAAGAATGGTCTGAGCATGAAGAGATTGCATAAGAATAGCATGACAGAAAAGAACCCCCTAGAAAGAGACAAAGCGATGAGACAGCCATTGGAGACACAGAGCGAACAGCGCGCACGCTTGCCTCGAGACTCGTCCACACTAACGGAGCTGCCTGACGCGGCATTTGCCTCGCTGCTTGTTATGTGGGGACCCGCCTATTACCTATACGAACTGTTGCTCAATCCATTCTCAAAGTTTATACCTACATAAAAAATGGTTGTGTACCTACCTTCTAATTTCTAGTTGGTTACGGTTGGATAATTTATATTTCTGGAATAAATAAAACTAGTTTTTACGGGTTAATGCACGAAACTTTATTTATTTATTGACGTTTCGTAACCTTTACAGGCTACGTCGTCAGAATCAAACTTTTATTTAATTTGTCGAGCTACCTTCGAAAGACTTGTATTGAGCGTTCGGTTATTTTATTGTTCGATTTTTAAAGTTTTATTGTCTATGTATGAATTTATTATTTAATTTACTTAATAAAGTATTTTATTTAAAATTCTTTTCTGTAATTTTGAGTTTATTTATTTGACCCTAACTACCGTAAACTACCGTAGTTAACTCGAAGGCGCGAAAATAAGCCTGCAGTGTGTGAACATGCATTAGGGGGACCAAACCATTACATTAGATTTGATAAACCACAGATCCTTGCAACTGAGCAACGTTTCGTTCCTAGAATGATACGCGTGGCTATTGAGATTAAAAAATATCCAAATTTCAATAGGGAAGATGGTTGGTATATACCACCAGCTTGGGAACCTATTATACAGGAGATAAAATCCCAACCCTGAGCACACACTGCAAGACCAACAGATACTATTAGTTGTTTTTGTTTGCATAATTTAACATAAGAAGGAGATAGAAAGCCTCTCTTGAGTTTGTTTCGCCGGTTCTTCTCAGAAAGGTCTCCCAATTTTGGAACCGGTGGTAGTTTACGGTAGGGTAGGGTCAAATAAATAAACTCAAATTAAAAAAAGAATTTTATTTTATTTAAATACTTTATTAAGTAAATTAAATATTAAATTCATACATAGATAATAAAACTTTAAAAATCGAACAATGAATTAACCGAACGCTCAATAAAAGTCTTTCGAAGGTAGCTCGACAAAATTAAATAAAAGTTTGATTCTGACGACGTAGCCTGTAAAGGTTAAGAAAGGTCAATAAATAAATAAAGTTTCGTGCATTAACCCGTAAAAACTAGTTTTATTTAATGAGTGATGTGCGTGAAAACCTAAGAAACAAATATTTCTGGAATAATTTGTTGTTAGCATACATTGACATATTTGTTTAATTGCTGTCGACAACTATCAATTGGTACATGTGCGAAACTTGGTTGTTACTTAATCGTAATTGTGTTCTAATTTGTTAATTTTTCTACTAACGTTAAAGCACTTTTACAAATGAAAAAAAAAGTTCGTCCTCGGCTCGGATTCTAACCCTGGCTGATCAAGCGAGCTTTTTACCACTGCATCACCGATGGTTGTTGATCTGATTTTGCAATAACAATAAAAAAACGAGCGAGCCTTACAGCAGTCGTGTATGATGTGTAACATTTGAAACCTCACTTTATATTAGTAAAAAAAGAAATAAAACCTTCTACAAAAGGAATAAGGCATTTGAACATTATGTTCTAAAATCAAAGCAAATAGAGCGCGCTTTCGCGACTTCCTATTACACACTTCTGTCCCATTTCACTTAATCACTCCCATGAATTGCAGGAAAGCAAGAGGAAAGATGTTACACATCAAAAAAAATACAACATGCTAAAGATATTTGTAGCGATGTAACCGCGGCTGGGATTCTAACCCTGGCTGTCCGCGTAGCATTGCAAGCGAGCTTTCTACCACTGCACCACCGACGGTCGTCGGAAAAAGTAGAACTTTTCAATAACAATAAAAAATACCAAATGCTAAAGATATTTGTAGCAATGTAATAAAACTTTCACTTAAAAAACTTTTATTGCTACCTACTTGAAGAACTCCTGGAGTTGTCTATGGAATGGATTCAGATTAGCGGCATTATCTGAAAATGTACCGTCGGTCATGGCCTCAGAGTCCCTTTTCACTTGCACCCCCTCGGCCTCGGCGGATGTTTCTTGGCGGGCATCGAACTCGTTAGCGTCACAGGCAGTGCTCGGAGCAATCTAGTTGGTTGGTGGAAGCCGACTTGTTAACTAACCTGAAGAACTCCTGGAGTTGTCTATGGAATGGATTCAGATTAGCGGCATTATCCGAAAATAGGCCGTCGGTCATCGCCGCAGCGTCCCTTTTCCCTTGCATCACATCGGCCTCGGCGGGTGTTTCTTCACGGGCATCGAACTCGTTAGCGTCACAGACTCGGAGCAATCTAGTTGGTTGGTGGAAGCCGACTTGTTAACTAACCTGAAGAACTCCTGGAGTTGTCTATGGAATGGATTCAGATTAGCGGCATTATCCGAAAATAGGCCGTCGGTCATCGCCGCAGCGTCCCTTTTCCCTTGCATCACATCGGCCTCGGCGGGTGTTTCTTCGCGGGCATCGAACTCGTTGGCGTCGCAGGCAGAGTGCTCAGAGGAATCTAGTTGGTTGGTGGAAGTCGACTTGTTAACTAACCTGAAGAACTCCTGGAGTTGTCTATAGAATGGATTCAGATTAGCGGCATTATCCGAAAATAGGCCGTCGGTCATCGCCGCAGCGTCCCTTTTCCCTTGCATCACATCGGCCTCGGCGGGTGTTTCTTCGCGGGCATCGAACTCGTTGGCGTCGCAGGCAGAGTGCTCAGAGGAATCTAGTTGGTTGATGGTAGCCGACGGACTGGCTACGTCGTCGTCCAAATTCATAACAGCTGTATCGGAGTTAGTCGCACCACTGCAGTTTGGTTCTGCTGACATTTCACTGAAAACAATATCATTGTTGTAATGTAAAAAATAAACTGACCAAGCGCGAGTCTGACCTCGCTCTATTAGGGTTCCGTAAAATAATTTGTTTGTTTTCATTACAAAGTACATATACTCGTATATGAATTGGTGTTTTCAGTATTTGTTGTTTAAATACAACATAAATCGTGTACTATGATATCACATTCTTAACCAGTTTCGATTTTGAGATAGAGCCCGTTTTTTTTACGATCTAGAGACCCGTGACATGCGGACAGACAGACGACAGAGTGACGGCAATAGGGTTCCGGTTTTTACCCTAAAAATACAAGATAATTAAGAAAATAGACCCACCTTTTTGATTAGAAGTCGGTTAATTAAGCTCGAAGGCGTGGGTGGTAAGCGCGTTCGGCTGCAATCGTTAAAGTTAAGCAACTTTGCAGTGGTCGGTCACTGGATGGGTGACCAAAAATCTTCTATCTCGAGTTCCTCCGTGCTTCGGAAGGCACGTTAAGCCATTGGTCCCGGCTGCATCTGCAGTCTTTAGCACCCGCCAATCCGCACTGGGCCCTCGTGATGGATCATTTTATTTTATTTATTTGGACAACCAACTAGAACATACACCTTACATGCTAAAAATACATATCTTTTCTTAAATAGTTTGGTGTTGCGTTATTAACAGGTTGTCACGGAAAGCAAAAAATGTGTAATCTAATTAGGAGCATAAGGAATCCTTTACAAAAAATATTCTAATTTTATAAAATAACATAAAGCAAACAAAAAACATTGCATTTTTCAGATAAAAAACAAAACAACAACGAAAGATAGATGAGTTATTAGGTGTTAAGCTGTATTTTTTTTAATCCAATCCCAATCTCGCTATTCCATCCATAGGCCCAATCTCCCTATTTTAGGCCCAATCTCCCTATTCCATCCATGATCGATCGATGAATCGATGATAATTATTATTTCTATCTCATCATCGCTTTCCATCAGGCGAGATTGTGGTCAGACGCCTTGCCTATTAAACATAAAAAAACAGTTGTGCTCCAACTCCAGCTCCGTACTAATTTTTAAGATTTCAAATAAGGTCGAACAGAAAACCATCGAAAAAATATAGTTTCATTTATTGGGGTCAGATTATTTTTTAGGCGTGCTAGTAACAAATGCAATAAACAAGTCTGTAAAAATAATATTGTTGACCTTATTATACGGAACCCTTAAAGCCACCGAGATTAATCCACAATGCTAGTAACATTATAACATAAAGACTTTGTTTTTCAATTTCTTTCGCTGATTGATTATTATGGAAGTATGTGTAGATAACTAAGGTATTAGTTGAGTTTTTTTTATAATTTTTAGCTTTAATAACTAAGATTTGAGATATTAATAAATAAATAAATAAATATTTCCAACACTCACACCAATTAGCCTAGCCCCAAAGTAAGCACTATAAGGCTTGTGTTATGGGATACTAGGGTAACTGATAGAATACATATTCTGCACATATATAAGTATATTTATATAGAAATACATATTAAACATCCATGACTGGAGTACAAATGCTCGTATTCATCACACAAACATCTGTCCCCACCGGGATTCGAACCCGGGACCTCTCGAATCGGCGACACCATGAAACTCGGCGTACAAACCACTCGGCCACGGAGGTCGAAAAGAACTTCACTTTTGTTTTGCAAAACTACAAGAAGCGCTTCTTTCAACCCGATAAAAAAATTACTAAATTTCACTCCTTACCAATTAAATTTTCCCTAAACCCATTCTATATCCTTTAATGTTAGTTTGTTGGAACGAAGTCAAAAAAGAAAATTAACAATTTTATTTAAAAACAAAATATTAAAAAAATGATTTGCCTTGACAACTTACTCGTCCATACGTTCCGCTTTAACTTCGATGTTAGTTGTTAAAACTGTATCATTCAAACCTTCTTCATCTTTCTTCAATACACCATCCTTAATCATGTCCAGTATGGTGCACACTTCAAACGTCTGTCTCGTAAATTTCTCAACAATCGGCCCAATCAAAGCTATTTCTTCTCTCGCAATACGCTTCATGTTCTGCCACTGCGTCTTCACTTTCTTTGTTGAACTAACAGAGAACTTACTGCCGAAACGTTTAGTTAACTCCCGCAAAATCTCATTCCAGGCAACATCTTTCTCTTCGGAATAATTCGGGCCGTTGTTATTCTTAGTTACGACCACTTCTTTGCGCTCCTTAATTAACTCTAACAGGTACTTTTTCTCGTCAACGGACCAGTTTGGAGTCCTGGATCTGCGGCAAGTCATTTTTCCCATGTTCCGTTTAGCCTCTCGCGGGTCGTGATTAATCTTTTGCAACGATTTGTTGCAAACGATGCACTCCACGTCCAAAATTATTGGTCTCCACATTTAAAACAATTGAATTGCGAAAACTTTTACGTTTGACACAAAGCGGTGGACAGTTCTGCAGTTAACTAGGTAATGGGTTTTTAAAAACATAACTATTGCTATGGAGTTTCAATTTGTTTCATTCGACCGAATTGAAATTATTAAAATTTGTGCCACATCTATGTGGCGATGACTTAAATTTTGCACATATTGGTTGCTTTCCAACAACAGAGCATAATGCGACTCAGTGCCGCACAACGCCAAATTATGCTGATGCTTAATTGGAACGTGAATTAGTTTTCAAATGCACCAGCAGAGTGCTCCAAGTTCAGTGTTGAAAAAAAAAAGTCAATGTTTGTACCTTCATCCATATTTATATTTATTTTTTAACGCAGTTTGAATTAACTTTGATTAATTAAAAAAGAAACTACGATGAAACGAAAGTTTTAATAATTTTTCAACAATAAATAATATTACTAATGATAACATATAAATAAAACATTTCGATCAATGCCAACTTAAAGAAAAAACACTTGTTAATTTTCTATCTCTAAGTTGGTACCATTGCACGCATCACACGAAAACATCACTTTTGAGAGTGCTCAATTGTGCGAAGCGTTGCTGTAGTTGGAACACTCAACGTCTAGCATTATGCCGCATAATGCGCAATAATGCTGTAATTGGAAAGCAACCATTGTCCAGAAGATTTTCTTGTGTCATTCTTTATTAGACGCTGGTCGTATAGTTTGTATTAAGGAGGTACATCTAACATCGAAATATAAAATTAACATTATAAAGTAAATTGTTAATTTGATTTGTTTTTATTCCGGGTTCGTGTACTTAATGCAGAAATATATTATTACGAAACTATTAAAGTAATGCCTAATAAAAGAGGTAGTGTCAATGATGTTAATAATGTTATCTATGACCGAAGCAGACTTGTCTGTCTTGTCTTTAATGTAGATGACAATTAGTTTTGACCTAAAATAAAATGAAATCTTAAACTTACTCCCTCTTATTAATAAACGAATAATAAACTTGGATTAGATACTCGATGTTTTTTCTCTTTTCACTGAAATACAAATTTCATTTGAGTGATATGAACAAAATACGGCGTAACTAGTCTAACCTTAATCTTAGTTTATTAATAAGGGGGACAGAGTTCAATTTTTTTTTTTAAAATTGCAAAAAGAAAATGTTACTTGAAAAAACTCCCCTCGGACTAGGCAGCAGACGGGGCTCGAACCCGCACCCTTCGCTATCCGGACGAATGGACTGACCATTATGCAACCGCGGCCCTGTTGGCCGTGTCCAATTCTTTCTAGCCTGTCTTAAACTGAAGGCAGCGCCGTCTCTTCGCGTTGTAGGTAACCCACAATTTTTAAATTTTTTAGTTATATTTTCTTTGGATTTAAACGTCGAGCAGTTACATGATTAAAAATTAAAAAATATAAATAATGCAACATTAAAAAGAAACTACCTTAACGACTAGTCTGATTTAATAATAGTTAAAAATGGTTTAAGTACCTTATATTACCGGTTCCATCTGTTCCAAACCTGTTACTATAAATAGATTCGGAGTAAAAAAAATTAGTATTGCGTTACTAATGGACAGACGTCTGATCATATGTTCGTAAATTATTACGACATATTACCACATAATAAATAAGAACTTAGTTTTACTTATTTATTAAATATAAACGCAGAGTTTAATACTTCTAGTAACTTAAAGTGCTAGTAGGCTCCATAAAATCAATAATTAATACCACAAAAATCATGTTTATGAATTGTTGCCAAGACTGAAGAAGAGTAATTTTGCTAAAATACATGCGATAAAATAAAATTCCTGCGCACGTTCTGACACAAATTATAAATAACTAGCGGCCCGCCCTCGCTTCGCTTCGGTGTAGAGCTGAAGTAGACTACAGGTTTTGTTCTCAGGCTTGTATTATACACAATGACATTCATCTGTGATTCTTCTTATACCTGCATGAAAAGTCTCAGACCGATCGGTTTAAAATTGACTAAGTTTCATACAAACTTTCATTCCCTATTTTATCCCCTTGGAGGTAGAATGATTAAAATCCTTTCTTAGCGGATGCCTACGTTATAACATCTATCTGCATGCCAAATTTTACTCCGATTCGTCCAGTGGTTTGGGCTGTGCGTTGATAGATCACCATGTCAGTCAGTCACCTTTGAGTTTTATATATATACTAGCTGACCCAGCGAACTTCGTACCGCCCTAAAAAAATAGGGGTTGTCCAGCGGACAAAATTGTGAATCTAAACCATTCTCAGATCCCCTTGAACACACACAAAAAATTTCATCAAAATCGGTCCAGTCGTTTAAGAGAAGTCCAGTGACATACACACTCACAGAAGAATTATATATATAAAGATAGATAGATGGGTACATCATCACGAACAAAATTGTTAAAACGGAATGATTTTGAAAGATTCGCCAGCGGGAAAGCATGGAAACAGAGTTCTCAATTCTTAAAGTATTAAAGCAATTATCGTTCAAAGATGTTTTTTCTTTAATTTTCTTCTTTTATATTTAAGGACTTACTTTTGGAATTATTTGGTTCTTTTCGTCTTGCATTTAGAGGAGTTGGAGGTGCCGATTGCGATAAATTGCTAGATAAATCGAAGACGAAGATGAAGATAAGACGAATGCTGCGGTTAATGTTTCTAGGCTTTCTGAGATAATTTTAATCTATATTTTTTTAAAGAAAAAGTAACTATATTTTCACTCAAATAATATTCCGTCAAAAAAGAGATTATTTTTAAACAAGTTTGGCGCGTTTTTTGTTCATTGGAACCTCTTCTTTCTGATGGCACTGAATTTTTTCTCGGAAAATGCAAATGCATCGTCACAATTCTCGATCTTTTATATGAGTTCATCGCTATTTTCGGTGAACCTACAACTCGTATCGAAAAAAAATCTATGGCAAAATTGTAGGTAATGAAAAGATCTACAACTTCGTCCGTTCAAAAAGAAGATTCACTTCAAAAAACAGAAAAAAATCACCTTAGCCCAGGATGTCGGAAACAGTGTGGCGGCGACATCTACATGCCCCACATATAATTAACATAGAGGAAATAGTCACTCGCCTCCTTAAGAGATGGCGCTACCGGCGCTGCGTTCACAACGTATGGAAGCCTACATCGCGCAAGAGAAATTCGGAGCCAAATACTCCATATATATGATGCCCGACCGACATCAGTCGGACCGCGGCTCACTTTGGCCTTCCTACAACGGTTTCTCGGGTATTACTCACAACCGAGGGTGGGTGCGCAAAGGGATTTTTAGAGTTTGGTCTAACACATTCGAGGACTCATCTAACGGATTTCAGTTGGGCTCATCTACGGAGGAAAGTCCTACATTAAACTCACTGCTTATCAGGTGGCGGGATATGCGTCAAACATTTTCCCCGTATTCAAAAAAAGGTATGATGCAAGTCCTTTGAAAATTAATTAAAAAAAAACTGTTTAAATGTTTGTTTAAAGCCGGCGCAGCTGCGGTGACATCCGAAACCAATAAAAGGTACGCCATTTATTTTAATATGGGGCCTTTGGAGAGCCGTATATATTTGCGCCTTTTGCCGTGGAGACCTTGAGGCCTTGGGGTGCGGAAGTCCGTCAGCTATATAAGGATATTTCCACACGCCTCATCGACGCCTCAGAGGATCCAAGGGCTGGCGCGCATTTCGGACAAAGGTTGAGCCTAGCCATTCAACGGGGAAATGCCGCCAGTCTCTTGGGCTTCTGTTTAAAGCTCCAATAATGAATATAATACAATCAGTGTTTATTTAATAGAAATAAGCGACTTACTTAAATTTCATTATAAACCTCTTTTCTCTTTATTACAAAAGATACGGTCACGAAATCCGAGTTTTTCAGGTGACACTTACAGCATTCAGTTCAATGTCCAATACAACCTTGATGTCGTCAGTAATTGTTTTTACTTAGAAAATTTAGACGCACATTTAAGAATATCTTATTTTGATTTGATTTCCTTTACTATTTTTTTGTAAGTTTTGATGAATATCTTCTAGTTAATAAGTATCTACCCGTTAAAAATGTATTGATTGAATTTGTTTCAAAAATATTTATGAGAATCATATTATGATTATGATTTTTATCAAATAATGTAAAAATATTACGGGAGAAGAAGTTACTTATCTGTAGTAGTAAAAATTGGTTTAAAGCTTTTAAAAATCAGTCTTACGTTTATACTCTATAACTTCTTGAATACAACCTCTTTAGCACAACCTAATTTATAAAGTAATACTATTAGGACTCTTTGCTCTAGCCACTTCTTAATGAACCCACGATTCAGTATGAGCGGGTCGCTGGAAGTTAGCAGTCGTCGCCTTCGTAGAGTCAATTTCACTTTAATTAAATACGATAAGAAAAGTTTTCCCATATTTTTCTCTAGGAAAAAGTGTGTGTTTTTATTCTTCTTCGTATTTGAAACATTTATTTTCAGTGAAGTGCTGTGTGGATCACGATTTGGTATATGTAAGGGCAGACAGTGTACCGGTTAGCGGCTTTATGTAAGTAAATTTTTGGTCACAAAAGTAAATTCACATCATAACGGAATTATTAGGGTTAGTAAATATAAAGAGAGGATTTTGTATATAGTTATTTTAATAATTTATGTAAGTATTGTAATGTTGAGTCGTGATAAAAGTTTATGGTGAGATGGAGTTGAATTAATTTAATTAAAAAGAAATCGGCTCTCCGATTTCACTCATGAAGGGTTCTGTAAGAATTAATATATTTTATGCAAAGTCAGAGCTTTTGCGAGTTACATAATTTGTTTTATTTCTATCTATTTTGTGGTTTTATGTTGGATGGGGAAAACCCCTTAATTTTAAAATATTCTATGAAGTTTTGACTTATCTTCATGTTATTGTTATGATATTATATTATTTTAAAAAAATCTGTAGAATTTCCATTTCGTGGTTCGTACGCCCGGTTTCATGGTGTCACCGACTCGAGAGGTCCCGGGTTCGAATCCCGGTGGGGGCAGATGTTTGTGTGATGAATACGAATAATAATAATAATAAGTATTTATTTGCTCCAAAAAATACATAATTACAAATACAAAAACTTAAAATCTAACATATCAACTTTTTGGGAACAAAAAGGGAATGTGACTCAGCCTTAAACCGCCGTTTTATCGGAAGTCGCTGATATTCTGCCACAACCTTATTTAACTAAAACATGCTCCATTTTGTGATACCAACAAGTAAAACTTTGAAAATCGATTAAAAAATATTAATACAACTACAACAATACGAGCATTTGTACTCCAGTCATATAAATAATTATGATGTTTAATATGTATTTCCATATACTTATATATGTATCAGTATATGTATTCTATCCGTTATCCTGGTATCCCATAACACAAGCCTTACAGTGCTTACTTTGGGGCTAAGCTAATTGGTGTGAGTGTTGGAAATACTTATTTATTTATTTTCTTATGTTCATGAGATACTGCCTCCTGATCGACGTAAAACACAGGCTTAGCAGTTGCTAAATAGTTCATTTGTCACGGTTTACGTTGAGCACGGCATTCGAAAAGAAATTTTATGTATTTGTTAATAAAATAATGAAATAAGTTTACTTTGTATATGATTTGCCTCTTCGAGTTCTGTTAAAAAGTAAATTCTAAATATTACCGTGGACAATAATAAGGTGGCAAGCACTAAATTATGAAATGAAATGAAAATAAATGAAAAGCGGAAAAGCCAAATTGCTTATACGCCACTTTGGTGCTGCTTAAAAATGAAATTAATTTTAGTTTTTATTTAATGTTAATTTTAAGCAGCACCGAAGTGGCGTATAAGCAATTTGGCTTTTCCGCTGTCGATAAATTTATAAAAAAAGTAGTCATCATCATCAGCCTATTAATGTCTCCACTGCTGGGGCACAGGCCTTCCCTATGGATGGAATAGGGAGATTGGGCCATGACCCATCACGCGGGCCCAGTGCGGATTGGCGGGTGCTAACGACTGCAGATGCAACCGGGACCAACGGCTTAACGTGCCTTCCGAAGCACGGAGGAACTCGAGATAGAAGATTTTTGGTCACCCATCCAATGACCGACCACTGCGAAAGTTGCTTTACTTCAACAATCGCAGCCGAACGCGTTAACCACTTGCGCCATCGAGCTCCTAAAAAAAAGTAGTCGTATTCGTCAACAAACTGACTTTTCACTATGCGAAATAAGTTGTTCTGAATAACTGTATTTTTAGTAAAAACTAGCAAACCCAGCGAACTCCGTTTCGCCACCAGATAGCTTCGTTTTATGTAACATTTCGTTTTGTGATTAAAAGAAAACGATTTTTTTTTTAATTTTTCCTGAATTTTCTTTGCTATAAACCTCACGGAGCCCGAGACCTTTCCAACGAATGCAAAACCGTGGAAATCGGTTCGTGCGTTCTGGAGTTATAGCGTCAGGAAGGAAAACCCGACTTATTTTTATATAGTAGATAAACAAATAAATATATATATAGACGTGTGACGCTCGTGACGCATTTCCGTTTCATCTTTTCCGTCCGAAAAGAAATTTTACTTCGATATTTTTTCAAAGAGACTAGTAGTTCCTGAGTTTAGCTCATTCAACCAAACAAACATTCCAACAAACTCTTCAGCTTTATAATATTAATGTAGAGAAGCAAAGATAATTATTTCTACAGCTACCATTGAACTATAGGTATCTAGATATTTTTTATTGTAATGGAGCAATACAATGCAATTGTCTTATGATTTGGTTTCATTTAATAGCGAAAGAAGTTAACATATCAAAAACCTGTCGTCAACTTCTTAATTTCATTTTAACGATAAATGAACTAGAGATAAATGTTATCTATTTTATACGAATGTAAATAAAATCTTTAAGTGCTTTGCATAAAACAAAGGTTGAGCAAAAATGACAATTTGATTACTGTTATAGTTTTTAATTATTTTAAAGCATGTAACTGCTTGATGTTTAAATCTAAAGAAAATGTAACTAGAAAAAAATCCACGCGGTCCAGGCAGCAGACGGGACTCGAACCCGCACCCTTCGCAATCCGGGCGAATGCACTGACCAATTACGCTACCGCGGCCCTCACGGACCGCGTCGAAATTCTTCTAGCCATTCTTAAGCTGCAAGGCAGCGCCATCTCTTCGCATTATAGGTAACCCACAATGTCAAATGAATACTTTTACAAGCATTAAACATTTGAAAGAAGAAATAGCAATTATAGTTATAGTTTTTTATTATTTTAAAGCACTAATTTTTTGCAATTTGATTGCTGTTTTTTTATTTAGAGTGTAATTCATTTTCGGGCGAAAAAAGAAGTTAATTGTATAGTAATGCTATGTTCTTTGAAAGTAGACATTTTTATCCACAATACGAATGCCTCGTTTACAATCACTGATGTACCCATAGTAATATAGAGAAAAACTTACTTACAAACAAATTTCATTCTGAAACATTCGTGTAAGTAAATAGTTTGTGAACACAACTTATCTTTTGTTTACAAATCTGTCTCAACACGAGGCATCAAACTAAGTTTACAATGAACTCACACGACCGTGAGTTTCACCACAAAAACCTCAACACAAAACTTCAGTAAATAGTTGGTACAATAAAACTGTTTGTGATAGTTTCTGTATTGTAATAAAACAATTTGTGTTTATATGTATCGCTCGTAGATATACTTAGCTGAGATTATTCGGTTTACACCCGGAAAATAAAAGATTATAAATGTTTGAGCAGAGTAGTATTAAAAAGAGACTTTAGTATTTAGGAATAGGGTTTGCGCTCCTTCTTATAAAACTGTATAATGCGATTCAAATAAGAATAGGAAAGCCAATGACCTCCATCTGTCAAATGTCGCTTGAAGAGTACGGTTTGCAAAAAAATCTTGAAATCTTTTTTTAGCACTCCGCTAATTCTAGAATAAAAATTAAACATTTGTAAACAAACAATAACAAATATAGTTAATTAATATTGGTTGATATTTTTTTTCATTTATTGAGCTTTGGCTATGAATGTTTGATAACCTAAATCGTCAACCAAATGCCATTTTAAGTTGCATTCAGAAACTCGATTTAAAACTTTCGTTTACATAAAGGATGCATGTTCGTATGTGACCTAGTAATGTACTCCGGCGGTAATGCAGAGATGAGCGGAATTGGAGAGCTTAATTCTGATTAATGTTTTTTCTCACACAGTCATAATAAATAATAATTATTAAAAATCGGTGGTTTTCTTTTCTCAAACTCAGTAAATAAATTTTATTAAAAAAATCTGATGTTATTTCTAACTTAATGTTAGTTAATAAGTTTTATTAAATAAAAACTTTTTTTTGCTCACTCTACCTATTTCGTTTGAATTGACAGTCATGACGTCACAATATGGCGCCCAGTCGGTCCTATTCTTAGTTGAATCGCATTATACACGTTAGTAGTAGCTTCTTTGGGATGGCTCACAGAATATTCAACAAGGTTCCGAGTTGTCTTAAATCACTACCGATAAAGAATTTTAAGAAGCGTCTGTTAGCATTATTAGTTGAAAAAGTCTACTATACAGTTGAGGAATTTTTAAATGACAAATCCTGTAATTAAATCGGACACGTCTTTTATAAAAGCAGTTCTCTATTAAAAAATTTAGATATATTAAAATTGTCAATCCAGTTAAGAAATGTGTATTTATTGCTATTTTGGACATTTTGCTTATTTTTCCATTAAAATTTTGACTATTAGTATGACAACTTTATGGCTTAATTCAAAATTTATAATTAATTTATAATCTACTCTGACATGCATGTAACAATAGACAATTTCAAATTATATTCATAAATTGTGATTCCAATGGTAAAAATAATAGAAAGATTTTCTTCAAATGAATAGAAACCTTTTTTTGTTCTTTATTTATTTAGAGGCTTTTATACTACGAATATGCCAGCCTCATCGTACCCTAACCAAATTTATACAAAACTAAATTAATCTACATTGGAGAGGGCGAGAAAAGGGCGAGCTATTTATTCTTACTAGCGAAAACTATATCAAACATCAACTTTGTTGCTTCTGGGTTAGGTACAGCTAATATTTCCACATCATCATCAGCCTATTAATGTCCCCACTGCTGGGGCACAAGCCTTACCTATGGACGAAATAGGGAGATTGGGCCATGACCCACCACGCGGGCCCAGTGCGAATTGGCGGGTACTAACGACTGCAGATGCAGCCGGGGCCAACGGCTTAACGTGCCTTCCGAAGCACGGAGGAGCTCATGATAGTAAATTTTTTGGTCACCCATCCAATGACCGACCACTGCGAAAGTTGCTTTACTTCAACGATCGCAGTCGAACGCGCTAACCACTTGCGCTATCGAGCTCCTCCATATTTCCATTCGGCATATTTCCACAAAGAAACCTATATTCGAAAAGTTAAGTCTATAATTTATGTATGAATAGCTCTTTATCTTCTGTTCTTGCCTCGTTTCATTAAAATGTGTTGGACATCGTCCACTTTGTTACATAGTTTACAATTA